GACTGTGCGGGGGCCGTGGATGGCGGCGGAGGCGCGGGCGAGGTGGAGGGCGGCGGCGTCGTGAGCGGCGGCGGCGGCGGTGTGGGGGAGGTGGAGGTCGGCGGAGGCGCGGGCGAGGTGGAGGGCGGCCGGCGGCGTGAGCGAGGTGGGGGGCGGCGGCGGCCTGAGTGGCGGCGGCGGCGGTGTGGGTGAGGTGGAGGGTGGCGGCGGCGTGGGTGAGGTGGAGGCTGGCGGCGGCGTGAGTGGCGGCGGCGGCGGCTGGTGAGCTTTCTGGCCGTCAGATTCGGCTCTACCGTCCGGTGTGAAAGGATTGTTGGATCGGCTGGTATATCAAGTAAACACAGATAACACTTGGAGATAACAAATAATAATTTTTTGACCGCGCGGGCATTGGTCCACCTGCCTAATGGCACCGCCGCCGCCGCCATGGTGGCGATCGCCAGTCGCTGGGACGTCACCGCCGCCTTCTCCGTCACCGACGCTAGTACCGCCGCCGCCTCCTCCTCCGCCCCTCCAGTGGCTTGCCTCATCACTCCTCCCATCACCCGCTCCACCACCGCCCGCTCCTCCATGGCCTCCTCCACCGCCCTTACCCCCGCCGCAAATGCCACCGCCGACCCCGCCTCTACCGCCGCCGCCGTCGCCGCCGCTGCCGCCTCCGTTGCTGCCCCCGACCTCACCGCCTCCGCCGCCTCCGCCACCACCGCCACCACTCCCGCCGCCTCCGTCACTCCCTCCGCTCCCTCCTCTCTTGCCCCCACCGCCGCCGCCCTCGCCCCCACCGCCGCCGCCGCCCTCGCCGCTCCCTCCCTGGTGGACCATCGAGCCGCCCCCTCCCGATCCCGCCCCGCCGCCGCCGCCGCCGCCTCCTCCGCCTCCTCCACCGCCGCCGCTGGACCCGCCAGGCTTTCCGCCAGGACTCGAGCCCGTGCACCTCGCAACCACCGCGATCGTGCTCCTTGCCTTCGCGGGAAGCACTGCCCTCTGCGCGCTCCGCTGGCGAGGCCGCGAGCGGCTGCGCCTGTGCTGCACCGCTGCAAGCGAGCGGCTGCGAGCGTGCTGCTCCGCCGTGCGCACCCGGCTCGCGCCGGCGGCGGGCAGGCGTACCGCTCCACTGCTCAGGGCGCTGGCCATCTCGCCGGAGAAGCGGCACGTGCCCTTCACCGACGAGAAGGGGAGCGTCAGCGACAGCTCCACGGCCGGCAGCAGTTGGCCCTCCACGGCGCCAGCCGGGACTCGGCAGCCTGTCCCCAGAGACAGGCCGCGGCCGGGCAGGCCGAGCGTGCCGTCCCTCAAGGCGCTCGCCAGCCTCGGGGGGAGGCTGCGAGGCCTCTCGTTCGGCGACTTCTCGCGGCGCTCCGTCAAGGAGCGCTCGTTCGAGGCGTCCTTCCGCGAGGGCCACGCCTGCTCGAGGGAGCCGTCTGGCTCGCAGTCCAAGCGAGCCTCAAAGGTCGCGTCCTTCGAGGGGGGCGTGTCTGCTGGGGCCTCGAGGGAGGCCTCTGGCTCGAGGGAGCCGTCCAAGCGAGCCTCAAAGGTCGCGTCCTTCGAGGGGGGCGTGTCTGCT